GGCATGTGGGATCTTCCCAGACTGGGGCACGAACCTGTGTCCCCTGCATCGGCAGGCGGACTCTCAACCACTGCGCCACCAGGGAAGCCCCTACAATCTTTTGTAATCTAAAAAAAGTGATCGTTTTACCTCTTTTAATTTTTAATACCTTTATTTTCTTTCTCATGTCTAATTGTGTCTGCTAACATAATGCTATATTTTAAATATAGTTATAATAATGCTATATTTTAAATAAGTAAGTCAGAGGTGACATATCTGATCACTCTGAAGTCAGCCAGCATTTCTAGAAATTTGAAATTTTCTTATGCACTAAACTTCCTAGGAATAAAAATCCATTAAACGTATAGAAATGCCAACTATTTAAATTTTGATCACTTAAATAAGGTTTGATATTTATATTGTCCCACCTTTTGAGTGGATTTTTTTTTAAATAAATTTATTTATATATATTTTTGGCTGTGTTGGGTCTTGGTTGCTGTGCATGGCCTTTCTCTAGTTGCGGCGAGTGGGGGCTACTCTTCGTTGCATTGTGCGTGCTTCTCATTGTGGTGGCTCATCTTGTGCAGCACAGGCTCTAGGCGCGCAGGCTTCAATAGTTGTGGCTCGTAGGCTGTAGAGCGCAGGCTCAGTAGTTGTGGCGCACCGCTTTAATTGCTTTGCCACATGTGTGATCTTCCTGGACCGGGGCTTGAACCCGTGTCCCCTGCATTGGCAGGCAGATTTTTAACCACTGCACCACCAGGGAGGTCCCCTTTTGAGTAGATTTGATACTTGCCTTTCTGATTATGATAACTCTTTTCTTGTGTAGGTGTTATCAAAACTAATGCCACTGCAGAGAAAACAGATGAAGAAGAGAAAGGTAACTAATCTTTGAAACCCTGTAGCAAGAGACATAGTATCACCTAGGACGTGCCTCTCTGGAGCCAGAGGCATTCTGAGTTATAAGATCAAGGAGATGAGGGGAATCAGCCAAGGAAATTGAAAACAGTGAGATAGAAGGAGAACCAAAAGAGAGTGGTATCCCGGAAACCAAAAGAAGGAAGTGTTTCAAAAGTAGGGAGTCATATATAGGTAATAAGTTGGTTAAGAGAACTAAAAATTGTTCAGTTGATTTAGAGTGTAGCGTCATTGGTGAGCTTGACAAGGGCTGTTGAGGTCAGGTGGGGAGGTTAAATTAAAAAAACCTCTTCAGTGAAGAGAAAGTGAAGACATAAGTATAGACAGCCCTGTCAGGGAATGTTCCATAAAAGGGAGCAGAGAACTGGGACAGTAACTGGATGGGGATGTGGGATAAAGGAGGAAGCACATTTATGATGAGAGGTGTTACAATGTGTGTACATGCTGGTGCGAATGATCCATCAGAGGGAGAAACTGATCATGCAAGAGAGAAGGTCACTGCTGGGAGAAATATCCTTGTCTGAAAGACGGAATGGGACCCATTGTATAAGTAGAGGGGCTAGCCTCAGGAGCATGGCGGTCCATCCACAGTTACAGCAGGGAAGGTGGAAAGGACGCTCACAAACGCAAGTGGGTGTGTGGGTTGTCACGGCAGCGCTTGGAGGTGCTTCTGATTACGTTCACTTCTCAGGGAAGTGAGTAGCAGGGTCATTAGATGAGTGAGAATGTGGAGAGGTTAGAAGTTGAAGAGAGAAGAAGAGTGAATAAGTGGCGTATAGAAACATAAAGTCTTGCTGGGTAGCTCAGCCCACTTGAGTCTAGCAGTCAGGAGTTTAAAGTGAGACCTTTTGGTGTGATTATGTTTTTCTCCTACCTTGCTGGGCCATTCAGGTGTGGGTGCAGACATGGGGAGAGAGGTTTCACAAGGGTGGGGTTTGCCCACTGAGTATGAGGAAGATCTACTGGTTGTTTCCTACAGAGGACAGAGCCGCCCAGTCCTTACTCAACAAGCTGATCAGAAGCAACCTTGTCGATAACACCAACCAAGTGGAAGTCCTGCAGCGAGATCCAAACTCCCCACTCTACTCGGTGAAGTCCTTCGAGGAGCTTCGGCTGTGAGTATCCGTTCCTTTGAACAACTGTTCCCTGCTAGTCCCTCCTTTATAAGACTTAGCATATCAGGGATCTTGTGGGAATTTTACTTTCTACTTTTATTTTTTTTTAAATCTTAGTATATTTACTTTCTTTGACTAGTTAATAATTCACATGATTCAAAAGTTTAAAAGTATGGAAAAGTGATGGTCTCCCTCCACCCTTGTCTCTTGGCTACCCAGTTCTTCTCTTTAGGGATTTTTAAATGCCACAAATTTATTCATCATAGCTGAAAGTCTTTTTTCTTTTATGCTCTTAGAACTTTCAATAAAATATTGGCTGACAGGTGATTTCTGGATGTCAGGAACATTTCTTATTAGGTAAGCCCTTTTGTTAGACTGTAGGGTTTACAGTGTTAAGAACAGTTTATCTGCTTTTATAAAATGTGTCCAAGAAGCCTGTGCAGGATTCCCAGTAACTGCAGTGGAAATCAGCCTTCAGTGTTGCAGAATTTTTTTAAAAATCCAGAACCCAGAATTAAGCCTTATGTGTGCACATTTCTGCACTGTGGTGAGAATGACTTCTAACATGTCCTTGTTTTAAAGGCAGAGAATTATGTAATGTTATGCCAAGTTTTTCGTTTCCTTCAGTAAGTTAGTAAAGAGGTATTTAGGGTTGTTGGTTTATGTACATGACACTGTGCTGGGTGTTATGAGTAACACAAGACATAGCTACCCTTCTTGCTGCCTGCCAGGACTCAAATCATAGACAGAAAATAGCTAGTGAATAAGAAAGTGGTGGAATGAATGGATTCTTTGCCTTTGTTCAGCAAAATCTATCATATGCCCACTGTAGGCAAATAGGGGCCACATTTCTGCCAACTATTGCCACCACTTGAGAGTAAGAGACACTTTAAATAAGAGAGCTAACTAGAACCAAATCAAGTTGTTAATGCAGCAATAGCTAAGAGCAAGGTTTTTAAAGTGTGGCCTTTTTTTTTGAATATTTTCAGGACATTATACTTTTCTATGTGTATTTTCTCTGTCAAAGGCTTTTTTCAGCAAATCTGTCATCTCTGCTTCCATTCATAAATTCTGTCCGAGCAGCTAGATGTGCTCTGACAGCTTGCTTTTCCAAGTATCAGTGGTCTTTTTAAATTCCTTTCATTTAAAGGACTGGAGTTCTCAGGTCAACCAGTGATGAACTGTCCTCTTTGAAAAGGCAAGTTCTTTCCGATTTAATTGTTAGTAGCCAAAGGAAACAAAGAATAAAACCTAGGTCACCTAATATACTTGGTCTATTTTTTACTGAAAAGATCTGCAAAATAAAAGAAAAATAATGAGCCACTGAAAGTTCTTGGATCACTTGAGTCCTCTTTCAGTAGTGACTTTGTTTCCTTGGCAACCAAATCAGAATCTGCTAAACTTCACAACCTTTTCTTCCAAATGGATGTTACTCTTCAAAGTTCTTTGTGTCTGAGAACCACCATATGCCAGAAGAATTGCCTTTTAGAGAGCCTGTTAAACTCTAAGGAAGGCTTAGAGAACACTCTTGACTTGGTTTGACTTTACTTTAAAAACAATGTGGTGGGATTTTTGTTAAACACCCTGTCAATTTAGAGGTAGCAGAGAGCTTATTATAAATGTACTACAAAAGCAGCTTTATTTGATATTTGTTGTGTGGCTACTTATGTAAGAAGTTGGTGCTTTTCTAGTTTTGATTTTGACTAGACAAAATAAGTAAATCTAATCACTCGTAAAGTTCAGTATGATTACTGAACTCCCTTTACCTATTTACTAGAAACTGGCTGAATCAATTTTCTTACCTCTCAATTGTCCCGAGTTCTTGCACAGCTGGCTTTGGAAGGCCCATGGAACACAAAATGACTGTGGTTCAGTGGAGCATCTGCACTGAGAAATGAAAACTGAAATGTCATTCCCTAAAGGGACTTCTGTATCTTAGCAGCATAGTAAGCAGTGTTTATTTTTAGATATGTCTTTTATAATTTATTTTATACTATGAATTAATAAGTACCATTCTTCCAGTATCCTGGGAATGTTTGTCATCCAAGGCCAACCAAATTTGTGGGTCTCCTGAAAGATGAATTTCTCCAAGAAAGGAAACTAGCCCGGATTTTATAAATTGCGTAGTAGTTTCAGATTAAGATTTAGTAGGGAAAGATTTTGGTTTTGTTTTGTTTTAGTTAGTATTTTTTAAGGCATAGGGAAATATGTCTGACAGGAAGTATCATTCTTTGCTAGATATAGGGAAAAATAAAATTCTAGGCTTTTAAAACAATTTCAACAACTAGGAATCCATCTTTCTCTCCCTGGCCTCCTAGGAAACCACAGCTTCTGCAGGGAGTCTATGCCATGGGGTTCAATCGACCATCCAAGATACAAGAGAATGCGTTACCCATGATGCTTGCTGAGCCGTAAGTATATGGACCCTGGCACACCTCTTCAGAACTGGGTTAAACGTCTTCCACCAAAAGCTGTAGTGTTCCTGAGCACAAGATGGGCCATTGAGAGCAACGTGCTTCTTCAGGGGAATAGCTTAGACAGGTGCAGAGAGAGTCAGATGCAATTCAATACAGTTTCTGCCTTTTCCACTTAATAAAAACTGATAGAAAAAGTTAGTGCTGTTATTCTATGCAGTTTAAAAAACTGTTTTGTTGTTGTCGTTGCTATTGTTTTTTAATAATTTAAAAATTTTTGAGACCTGCGAAAAATATCAGGAGCAATACCAGGAACATCTCCGTAACCCCATCCTGCCAAGAAATAAAGCTGCCATTAATGTAGTCGGCAGTTGTAGCTCCCATGTAACTCCCTCCATTCACAGCCCCCTCCCCTCCCC